CTATTTAGCACCAGAGTCCCACCACCCGCCTCCTCTATAACTCCCTCAACCAACCACCTCAGTCCCCCACAATCTCTCTCTCTCTCTCTCTCTCGTTTTTAGTTTACTATTCTCATAAGTTCCGTCGACAAATCGTTAATAAAAATCCCAACGCCTATATCACAATTTCCGTTCGGAAAACCAGCCGAAAAACCTCTGAATTGTATCCATCTCACGTAAATCCTCCTTCAAAGATCCAGAAACCCTACAAATACCTTGAAGAGAACGATAAAAAGTTAGTTTGCACCACCCACCTCACAAACTCATCAGAAAAAAAAAAGGCAAAAAAACCCACAAAGATCAAAGGTTCACCTCATTTTCTTCTTGACAGAAGCACCATTTCTCTGTTTCTCCGCTTCACGAACGATGTCCGAATGTGTGTTTTCAAAGCTCTCTGATGACGTTGTTCTGAAAATACTCTTCAAGCTGGAGGACGATCCTCGAAACTGGGCTCGACTCTCGTGCGTTTCCACCAAAATCTCATCTCTGATTCGCGACATTTGCTGGAAAATCAAATGCTTGCAGACCATACCCTCTGTCGTTTCCAATCTCTTCTCCACCACCGCAGCACCGTCCGGTAGCTGGGCCGCCCTCCACAAGCTCGCCGTCTGCTGCCCTGGACTTTCCCACGCTGGTGTCCTACTTGAAAACTCTGATTTCGGACTGGAACGCGAGCTCGGCCCTGATGACAGTTATCAAGAAAATAAATTATTTCAATCGGGTCCGTCCCAAACAATGCCTCCTTCGAGCAACGGTGATGGTAATTCCGAGTCAATAGCTTGTGTGTCAGATTGTGGTTGGTCTCTGTTCGATGATCTTTATCACGATACCCTTTACAATCCTTCTGAATCATCTCAAGATTGGCCCGAAATAATCGAAGAGCCGGAAAAGGGTGTTGTGAAACCGGCTTCAGCTTGTGATTTTGCTGTTTCTAAGAGAAGAAAGATTTGTAGATCACTGGGGTCTCATTTGGCATCTGGGGTTTGGAGTTTAAACCGTGAACAGGGCAATAAGTTGCTCGGGAGTCGGTTTAAAGGGGATTGTTTGTACATTTGTGATTGGCCTGGTTGTGTTCACGTTGAGGAGAAGCGAAATTATATGCTTTTCAGGGGGGTTTTCAAGAATTTCAAGCAGTCCAGGGTTTGGAGGACGATAAATGATAACGATGGGAATCGGAGAAGGATTGATCTGAGTTGTGCTTTTTGCTCTTGTAAACAGACTTGGGATTTGCATTCTGCGTTTTGCTTGAGGCGGTATTTCGGGTTCCATGAGGATGGTGAGCCACACGTTCGAGCTTATGTTTGTGAAAATGGGCATGTTTCTGGAGCCTGGACAGATTGGCCTTTGTACACTTGAAATTGGCTGTCTCTTCGTCTTCCATGGGTGCGTCTCTGTTTTGGTGGGTAGATGCTGATTGTTGCAAGGAAGTATCAATAGATAGCAGCAGTGTGTTTGCCTTTCTGCTTATTTATGGGCTTACTACTACTAATGTTATGACGAAATGCTATCGAGTCTAGGAGGACGACACAGACCCACTAACGATCTACTAAAGGGCAATCGGGCAACTTCTAGTCTTGAATCCCTTCAAATATTATCGCAACTTTACATTTTATATAAAAAACCTAAAATGGAATGAAATACAAGAGCACGAGTTATGTATCTTCCGGGGGTAGCTTGGCATCGGTTCAAACCCAATTCGTGAGATGACAGAAGAAGTTTAACTAGAATGAGCCAACGCTCTAGTAACCCTTTTCGAGTTCGATTATTGTACTTTGACATATATATTTGGCAGCCCCTTGTAGGATGCAGCAGCTTCAGATTTCTGGGCAGTCTTTCATGACTTGTTATTTTATCAAATTGGCTTATTTATGGATTTAGCACTTCTAATGGTATTGTTTGATTTATGATCTGTTATTCTGGTAAATTGGCCAAAAACAGTGTGTTGTTTGATATTGCCTTCATGCCAATTGGTCTGCACATAGTTGCTATTCTTCTTTCATGTGATCTTCCAATCGCCTATATATTTCCACAGCTTGAAGTTAGGACAGGATAAATAAATTGGTTGGAAAGTTAATGTTTCCTTCATCTTTTGGAAAACTGATGAGAGATTAGCTTTAAATCTGATATCGGAAGTAGAATGTCAATGGGTTGGTGGAAGAAGCTCAGTTACACCAACGTACACCGATACAATACAAGAGCACTTGGCATCTAGCTCACGAAAGATTGATCATACTTCACACAGTTTTTGTTTTGAAGCATATACAACAGAGTCCACATTCTCCCATCTCAATCCCTGTTTATCTCAGTTCCCAAATTAGGCAAAAGGCAGGAGGAGGAGAACCATTCTGTAGTGTCCATCCACACATTTCCTGAAGTTTGCTGAAACAGAGTAGGTATAGCAACGACCAATGAATAATTACCTTACCAAGTCAAAGGTATGATCACATTCCGGATTTTTCCTCCATTGACAACGAATCATGCTAATATATGTACTTATATATTATGCACATTCACGTTTCTCAGTGATATGGGCTAAAAGAATCAAAATGCTCAACTTCCATTGCCGATCCATAGTCGCCTCCTATTTAATGCTTCATAAATATGCAATTAAGTTCTTAACCGTTTCATACAACCAACCCTTCTTCATCTAATCCAGGAACTACTACATCTGCCCTTCTCACATGATCATAATTTTCTCCAACCTGTGCTCCAGCTTTTGCAAACAATTCCACCACAGCAGGCAATTTTCCATAGTATCGTTTCAATCTATCAACAAGTAGGCCATCACCCAGCCGATCTTGTACATGCCACACATGCACTGGAGGAACCAAATCATCAATTGTGGCCTCCTGCCAAGCATGTTGTCCATCCCTCATCTGGTGCTTGAATGCTTGGCATTGCCTCACTCTTTGGCCCTTAGGCCCCACTTGCACCTCAGAACAATACGCACATGTTTGGACAGCATAACTCTCCATGACTTTTGTGGCTCCTGACCGCATCTTCTCCCATGCTTCCATACCTCGCACAGCAAAACCTGAAAATATGCTAGTACTTAAGAATGCATTCATTGTAAACTTCACAAAATGATAATTTTGTACAACAACGAAAAACAAATCGATGTTTTCTTTGCAAATAGTGACAATAAGGAGTAAGTTATTACGTACACCTCATGACCAGAAAGTGGTCTAAACCCTATACAATTTTATGGCAGCCCAAGGGTGCAAAAACCATTTCTCAGAGTTCAACAAGTTGCATCATGGAGGAGGAAGTTCTCTTCGGGAATAGATGAACGTAAAGAAAACAGACCTTGTATATTATCATATTGCAAATTCAACGACTTCTTATCTTCACAGGGCTTTTTTCTACTCTCCCAAAATCCATACGTGTTGATGTACTTGGCAGATGAATCATCCTTGGGAAATCTTTTCTCAAAATCTATCATCCTCCCGGCAACACGGTATAAAGGGAACTCTCTTCTTCTCGTTGGGTGCTCGAGGATGTCCACCCCTGCTTGAATACACAACTCTACAATCGCTGGAATCCGATCAACTTGAAGCCGTTCGTTATGTGAAACAGCTCTCCCCAACCTGTCATACAGATGAAAGGATTCCACAACGGGCAAAACTTGATCAATGCCACCCTTTTCCCAAGTATGCTCTTTGTTTGTTTTGCTTCCACTGACATTACATGTCCTGATCTTATGTGGTGGATAACCCACATGAACTTCCCCACACAAGCTGCACAAAAGAGTGACACCATTACAAAAGGCTTAAAAATTTAAGCAAGACAAATCAACAACGAAAAAAGAATGCCCGTCCCAGTTATTATATTATTTGCAGCTTGAAAAGAAAAAAAAAATCCAGCTTTTCATATAAAAATAAGTGACAATGATTATTACCTGCATGAATAAATTGGAGTGCTGTTGACAACTTCTGACACACAAGCCAACAATTCGGTTCTAGCAGCTAAAACCTCATGCGCAACTGGGACTAATTTTTTAACCAATAATCCATTTTCGGGAGGACTTAACGTGACCTCTCTGACGACATTTCTCTCTTGTTTTTCTAATCTAGCTCTACGCTTAAGTTCGTTAACACTCGTCACCCATGGCTTCCGCTCAGACTGCTTAAGCTTCCTTGGCAGCTCTGTGTAACTCGACCCAGTGGAGAACAAAGCACCGAAATGGTTTAACTTATTTAAGCCAATAAAGTTGGTATCGTAAATTCCTATAATCAAGTCATGGAGATTCAAGATGGCTCGAGCACGTCTTCGAAGCATTTCTGCAATCACTGAATGAGAAATTCAAAAATAAATGCAAAACACTTATCTTAGGCATTTTAGCAAACGACTTGAATGCGAAAAAGCCTAGTATATAATTGAAGCTTTCATTGGTTTTGGCAACAAAATGACATTGAGCAACACTGACCTTTACCCGTGCTTCTCGTCTCGAGGCTCCACTCTCCCCCTGAATAAGGAAGGTCCTCTTAGCTTCGCCAGACAACTCTGTAACTGTGTTAAGTCAAGCCCTTCCGGTCCGATTAAAGTCAGTTATAACCTAATCTTACGGGTTATTAAAATATGACAATTCATTCCTATCAGTAACGCCTTCAATTGTATTGTATTGTATATATTTCTCCTTTCTTGGTTTATGGAAAGACAATCTTCGAACACTCAAAGAAATCAATTGGCAAATAACCTCCCCCGAGGCAATCCCTTACCTCGCAGTCGGCCAAAAAACACGGCCTGTGGGCTACACAATGTATCCAAAGCCTGTTGTTTTGTGGGCTAGTTCATCACGTTGTGGGCCACACACGATTCTTGATAGCCCAACGTGAGAGATAATTTGCCATGGTTTTGGCTCGTTAAGTCGAATGGGCTGACGTGATTAAGATTAGGTCCACTGACCCACCAAAATTCAATAAATATGTCACATTTGGACAAAAAGAATGACCACAATAATTCCATTAGGACTGCCGGATAGGCAAACCGCTTCAATAAAAAAAAAAAAAAAAAGAAATTTAGGGATCGATCTTATTTTGTAGACTTATTTGGACATAAGAAGATGGCAGTTATGAGCGTAAATCAAGGGTTATATTTGCGTTTTCCGTTGATCTCAATGTTTCCTAGTTAGGAAACAATCCTATTGTTAAAATATTATATTAAAAAAAGCTTAACGATTAGTGTATTTTAGAGTTTTAAAAAATTATGGACTTAACTACTTATTAGTAAGATTAAAATAAAATTTATTTTCAAATAAGTTTAAGTGAAAGACTAAACTCATAAAAAGGACTAAGCCCTAATTTTCACTATAAAAAAAATAAGTAAACCATTAAATGCACATTAAGACCAATTTAGTCAGTTAAATGAGCCTTCAAGTTTGTAGATTACTCCAGGCTTAAGAGTCTATTCCAGATCGACAAAGCCTTTTCACTTGAGCCCGTAAGCTCTATGGATCAAATTTTCTCACCGGTTCTTCTTCCCCTCCCCTATAATCGTTGTGATTTAAAAAAAAATCCCCCCCCCCCCCCCCCCACAAATAGCCTGTATGAGAATACTTTCATAAATAAATATCTATCAAACTTACAAATTTAAAACCCACAGCCTATCCCATCTAAGTAATATGATTGGTCGTGTGAACCTTTGTTTCCTAGCTCGTAAACTACTGATGGAGAAGGGTAGATAGGTAAAGAAATACGCTTTCTATAACAATTAATCAAAACCAATAAAAATGCCCAGGGTAAGGCTTAGGTTGGTAAGAGAATCATCTAGAAAAAAAAAAGAGAAAATACCTTAAAATCGCATTCAAATTTCATAACAACATAAGCATAGCACCTTAAATTAGTATCGTCACGAATAAAAATCCCATCGAACGCTCAAAATAAGCATTGTAGCGAACAAGGATCCCATCGAACGTTAAATAAGCATTGCAGCGAACCCTTATGTCATCGAATGCAACTCTAAGGATGACATCGAATGCACAAAAGGTCTGAATCCATATAAGTTGATATGTGAGAAAAAATGAGAAAAGAAACTGAAATGAAAATAATAAATGTTTACATATATCCTTAAAATGTTGAAAGTAACTCTGTTTAGAAACCACGAAATGCTTAAAAATAACGAGGTCGCTCAGAATTAAGAGGTTATCCGACGTGAAAATAGATGAGCTGTTGAGAGATTCAATTGCAATCCTATGAAACGCTTCACTAATCAAAGGATGAATGCAATGTGCTTACAAAAAGGACAGAGAGCGTTCCTGGCAAGTATGCCTGAAAAGCAGTAATTAGTCAAGAACCTTGACTTACCCCATCGAGGGTTCGGAGTCAAACCAATGAAAATTGTGAATGAACTAATTGGTTTAAGTAGTTTTTTTGATATCATAGATGCGGGACAAAGAAAGCTAAAAATAGGGGCGTTTAAATTTTTGATTGATCGTAATTTTCTACCCTATCTGACCTTAATCTACCCTACTAACCAGTTAGCAGCAAAAATAGGGTATGAATACGGAAGAATTTTTGGTCTTCTGATTAAATTGGGTAAGAATGCAAAATACCCATCAATTTTCAGGTTTCTACCATACACTACCCTTAAAAAATATATTTAATTTTTTATATTTTTTTAGTAATTATAAGAGTATTTTTGTGGTATAATTTATATTATAATATCGTTATTATTGTGAATGTTTGAGTTGTAAAAATATGGACTTATTTTTTGTGTAGGTTACATGATTTGTGGGGAACTAGTGATTTATTGGAGCAGTTATGATTTTAATGTATTTCTAATGGTTTAAACTTAAAATAATTGTTATTGTATTTATGTAACAATTATGATGGATTGATGTTCATATTTTTCTTATATTTTATTGTAATTGTTGTTGTAGTTGTTTTAGGTTTTAGTATTATTGATTTATTGTATTGTTAAATTGGTGTATGTTATTTAATTGAATTTTTAAAATGATCTAAAAATTAATAATTACAAAAGTGTTTATCCGACTTCCTACCTGATTAATAGGGTAGGAAGTCGGATAGAAATATCTCATCCGATCAGATAAGGTAAGTCAAGAAAAAATTCTTCCATAAATTATCAGGTAGAAAAACAGAAAGACTATATTGTTTTACCCATAGGGCAGGATAAATAACCCTAACTAAAAACAGCTGATAAGCCCCCTGAAAAAAGACTCAAAGGAATAGAGAAACAGAGTACGAAAGAAGGGACCTTCAATTGTGGACTACTCTGTGTTCAAAAAAATTGTGGACTACTCCTTGATTAGGACAGCCGGTTGACAGCTGAACGAGCTCAATTGGAAAAAAGTGAGAACAAAATGCAAATCGGCATCAACTTCAAGGTTTAAAAGTATAATTAATCTCAAAGCACCGAAATGCTTTTAACTTATTTAAACCAATCAGTGCCGGCCCAACCTTTAGGCCACTGCCTAGGCCCCAAATTGGAAGAAAAATTTGGGGCCCAAAAAAAAATAAATAATAATTATTTTAGAATATAATTTAAATACTTAATATATTTTAAATATTGAATTAATAGTTAATGTTAAGTTTAAACAAAAATTACTATTTATCTAATGTACTTAATTCTCAAATTAAGTGCAACTAACATTATTGTAAAATTTTTAGAACCTCTTTTAAAAAAATTTAGGGTGCTAAAGTTCAGCTTATTTTTTTATATCACCTGAGATTTATATTATATGTATTATCACTTTGCAGTCTTCTTATTAAAATCAATTGTTTATCGTATAATAGGTACGAATAATAATTTTATATTTATATAAGTTAAATTTAAGGTCATTTTTTAATAATTTTGGTTACGATACACAAGATGACTATAAAATAGAGTGAGTAGAAATAATACACTAGCTATCTTAGATTGATTAACCATAGTTGTTTTACTAAAATTTTTTATTTAAAAATTACTCTTTTTCTCTATGATATCTAACAAAATCTCATTTATTTTAGAACTACTCAACTGGTATAAATTCTTATTTTATATACATTTATAAAAAAATTATTTTACTAGTCAACCTAATTTTCAATTATGTTTCCCTTTTATCTTAAACAAATAGTATGTATTATTGTATTTGACTTCGATTAACACAATTTTTATTTATAAAATTTGAATTAGTATGTTATATCTCAAAAGACAAAACAAATAATTTGTAAATAAACATATGTTAATAAGTTTTTAATATTATTATTATTAGTGAATAAATATTTCGTACAATATTTTTGTCTAGGCCCCAAATTAACTTGGGCCGCACCTGAAACCAATAAAGTTCGTCTTGTAAGTCCGTATAATCATGTAAAGGAGGTTCAAGATGGCTCGAGCGTGTCTGCGAAACATTTCTGCAACCAACAAATGGAAAGTTCGAAAACAAACGAAAAACACTATATATTAAATAATATAATAAAGAGTAGTACTATATATTTCAAATTTGTATTCCAAATTAAGGAGGATCATTGAATTAATAGGTCCCATTAATTTTTTTAAATGGGACTCACTGATCCTCTTTAATTTGGGTTATAAATTTAGAATACATATCATTACTCATATAATAAATTATGATTAATAAATAATAATAAAATGCATTTAATATGACTCATGCATTTCATGGCTTCATTATTCATGCACCTTTGCGGCCACCAATGAGCCTTTTAAGTACCACTTGGATTTGAGTTGATCTTGGCTCTTTTTGTTACAAAATAAATAAATTAATTATTATTAAATTTTAGACTCATTTAATATTTAAACTAACTTATACATATAACTTTTAATTTATAATTTTTGTGTTAATTAAGTCTTTGAACTTTTATTGTATATCCTTGAATCATCTAATTTTGTCAATTGAGCCTTTATTTATGTCTACCTCCGCTAAAGTGCGCCACGTGAGTAACATAATTAAATGGTTCAGAGGTTCAATTGACACAAAATATAAAAAATTTAGGGTCTTAATTAACATAAGAGTTAAAAAAAATTAGCATAAGAGTTATACTTTGAGCGTATATATATATATATTTTACACAGGCCCGGCCCAATAGAATTAAAAAAAAAACATGGATTTTAGGTCCTAAATTTTTAGAAGGCCCCATAAGATACATAATTAGTCCACATAAAAAATTTAAATTCATGAAAATTTTAGGCCTTATAAAAAGGTCCCAAAAAATTTAAGCCTAATCAAAAAATTATAATTTCAATAATTTGAGTTTACCATTCAATCCATAATATTAGAAACTCAAAAATAAAAAATTTTAAAAATAAATAAATAAATAAAATCTCTCTCTCTCTTTCTTAAAAAACAAAAACAAAGTATCATATCCTCCTCTCTCACTTAAAAAAAATTATTTTTTTAAATAATACTAAAAATAAAAAAGTCTTATTTATTATTACCATTTTAGGCCTCAATTTACCTTGAGTCGCCCCTGATTTTACTCCAACTATTTGTGTCACGTGAGTGACATGTTTCACCACTTTCAACTAAAAAATATAACAGTGATCGACAAAAAGGTTTATAACTTTAATTTCTATATTTTCCTTCTATTTTTTGTTTCTTGTCCTTTTTGAATTCAAATTAAATGAAAATTTATTATTAATAAAATAATATTATTTATACTTAATTTATTGGCCCTAATTACTATCATTAAATTGACAGTAGAACTACAATATTACTTGAGATCCACTATTAAACAAAAAATTATAATACAATAGGTCACAAAATAAAGTCAATAAATTAAATTCAAATAAGAATTTCCTTATTAGAGAATTTTACAAAGTGAGGACAGGAAAGTTATTTGGTAAGCACAGAGAAGAAGAGGCCAAGATTAAATCGAACACTTAACAACACTTTCGTAAACAACAAGAAACTCTAATGGCGGACAAGAGAATGCCTTTTGGAAAATCCTTTATTTAGTTGAAAATACAATTATGTCCTTGTAGAGGGATTTAGTAAGCGTAAATTTGTGGTGTTACTTGTAGTTTACAGAAAATATGGGGGTTAACTTGCCATTCTCTAATCTATTTACGCGCTTTAGAGGCTCTCGTAATAATCGTCAGCCAAGTGTGACACGTCAGCACGATGAACTTTTGCCGGCTGCTATCACTACCAACGCACCTTTCCATGCCACTCGATGCCAAATGTTTAATTTTCGTCTCAATTTATCGTCTCAGGATAATATCGTTGACCAATTAAAATTATATGAGTTTTACTAACATATTAACACTTAATAATACCAAAAAAAAACACTTAAAAATAAAATCTACCAAAACAAATTTAATAAATCAAAGTGTAAATGATAAAAACTAAAATTAAAAAATTAAAAATATCATAATCGACAAATAAAGTTATAATTTCTAATCTTAGGCGCCTTGTTTTAACCAATATTTAATTAAATTTGCTAATAGTTTATTAAATTTGAGATATTTTTTGTTCTTATTTTTAAAAAAATACATATTGGTTAACAATTGTCCAAATCCCACAAAAGTACATAATGACAACAAATATCACATATATCTTTTTTTTTTCAATGGTCAAAAATGTCTGAACTAACTTACACACATATAAAAGACATGACTGGGTGCATAGATTTCATATGAAATAGTATCATTTTAAACTATGATATGATAACAAAATCCCACCAAGCATTGGCCGGGTGGATACATCAATTTCACTATAAAATTAATTCACGAGTAATGTTAGATTGATAAAAAAAAAATGAATAAAAAATAGGGATCAAATTTATTTTATTAAAAAAATATTATATCATTTGATCAATATTTTTTTTTTTTAATCAGTGTAGCACTACTCTTAATTACACTTCGAAAAAAAGAAAACGCTCATTTATTTGAAGATCAAAATCAGGAGGTGTTGGGTGACATTAATTGAAAAAGATAAGAGTTGCTCACCCATCCTTATCTGTCATACTATCATGCCAACTTTAGGTTGGCATTTTTAGATGAAAGTTCATATGACTCTTGAGATCCATATCTATATACCTTATCACTTTGAGTTGGAAATGTAGGTTTAGAGTTCACACAATGCTCGTTATCAATTCCAAAAATAACAAAAATAAATGGTATATCTTATCAATTTTTATTTATTTTTCCTAAGTCCATCACTCTATCAAATTATTTCTTCGAATTCTTAGCAATAATAGCAATTCCCACTAAGATTTGAAAATTAGCCAAATATATCACTAGAATTATCTTTAAGTAAAAAAATATTAGCCAAATAGGGGAATTCTCATAACAAAAGCCATCTAAACAAAGTGGAGGACCGCGGAAGCCTTATTTAGTCGACCCATGTCATCATAAAAATGTCAGGGGATGATCCTGTAATGCATCCATTTGAAGGGGCCTGCGAGTGTAATTTTTCTCATTTTTAACCCCTGTTTCAAATATCTATTTCACCCCCATTTTATTTCTTATTATCAAACTATTACGTCATTTTCTATACCCACCTCATACTATATACAAGTATTTAATAAGTAAGTCCACCTTATATATTCTCACAATTAAAACTTTATTCATTATCTCATCTCATGCATTCACAAAAATACTTTTTTTTTTTAAATAAATTTTTGTAATGAGATATAAGTTAATATTACTTTTTGATTTCATGTGTGAAATGTAGGTTTCTATTATTTTTGTTATGTTTTGGTATCTCGGTCAAGTTTAATAATTTTTTATTTAAATTTTATATGTATGCGTAATATATATTCAAGTTGTTTAAAATGTTACAGTAAAAGCTATTTTAATAGAAAACTTATTTCGTTTGACAAGCTTGTGTTGTTGCTAAATTAGTCTTTGTGATATAGCCTTTGTGAATTAAAAACCTTGTTTCGTTTTTATTTTTCAATGACAGATTTCTTCTTTTATTTTCTTGATTTCTTCTATCTTATTTTATTTATTAAAAAGATATATGTGACATAAGGTGAACTTATTTACTAAGAGCAATGTTATAGGGACCTTATTTGGGGCCAAAGGCGGCCCAAGGTAAGGAAGGGCCCTAGGCAAAATTTTTATACGAGGGCCTATTAATATTTGGTCTATTAATATATTTTATTTTTAATTATTATAATTTTTTTTATGTTTTTAAGAATTATTTTTTATTTTTTAAAAATTTAAAATATTGATCAAGTTTTTATACTCAAGTTTTGACAATAATTTTTATTAATAGATAATATTGTTAATTCATTCACTCTTAGTTGATTGTAAACAAAATTTTATCAATTTAAGTTTTTAACAAGTAATTTAATAATAAAATATGTGAGCAAAGAATAATTTTAAGATAAATAATAATCAGTCTTTACTCATAAATAATGTGCACACATGAAGTACAAAATTTTAATAATATAGATAATTTAAGTATAAATTATTTGAACTAAAAATTTATATTAAGACAAAAAAGAAACCAATTTTATAGATTTTCACCACAAGAAATAATAAATAAAATTTTTTTATGCGAGTGAGTGAAATACAACTATGAACACACCAAAAATATTTAAAAAATTTTAAATCAAAGCTCACACGAAAGAGTAATTTTAGACCCAAAAAAATTAAATATTGATTTGAACTATTAAAATTTGAGCTCTAAAAATTTGAATCATATCTAAAATACAAAAAAAAAAAAAAAAAAGATTATTATACTAAAGTGGTAAATAGATAATATAATTTTATGGAAGTCTCTAAAACTTGAGCTTAACCAAGTAGAAAGTAATTTTGGATTTAATAAAATTAGATACTGATCTAAACTAATAAAATTTGGGCCCTAAAATTTTAATAATATCTAAAATAAAAAATTAGGCATATTATACTAAAGAGATAAATATTGTGGGGCCCTAGGCAAGCAACTTAGTTGCCTAAAGGTTGGGCCGATCCTCTTTGGGGCCCTAATAATGTGGTGTCAATGTAATAATTAGATTAGTTGTAAGTCCTAATGTTAAATGAAGCCTACAATTAATCTAATGGTTGTACATTATTAAGTCTCTAGATTAAGTTCTTAAATTAAATCCAAATAGTATTTTCTATTTACTAATAAAGTGAGTATAAAAAAAAAATCAACTTAAGAATTTGATAATAAAAAATTAAATAAGGTAAAAAAATATATTTTTGGAATGGAAATAACCTCCCCCTTCGAATAAATAATCTGAACTCGGCTCAAAGACTTTGTTAACATTTTCCTTGTTAGTATCAATTCCGTGAAGTTTTCGAACAACTTCTGAGAATTTGACCTTTTCTAATTTATCCACCACATACGTCAGGTGTACGCCAAACCGTTATTTTAGAGAGAGAGAGAGAGACTTGATTCAAGAACCATTGGATATGAAGCATAGTAATCATAGTCACAGGTACTAAGTTGAGGGCTTTAAGAAGGAGAGAAACAGAGAGAGAGAATTGTGCTAATTTTGTCACCGATTCTAAGAGAAAGAAAAGATGAAGTTCTGCAAGAAATATGAAGAGTACATGCAAAGACAAAATCAGAGGAAACTACCTGGGGTTGGTTTCAAGAAGCTCAAGAAAATCTTGAAGAAGTGTAGGACAGAGCTTCAATCCCACAATGACCTCCAAAATCATGGTGATGTGGTTCTCCACCACATCTCCACTTGCCCCAATCATTGCCCAGGTACATATCTTTGATTCAAGAACACAACACCCAGATCAAGTTCTATCAGTTTTATATTTGATTTTGTTATTTTGGGTCTTGGGGGTAATCTATTGCACAGATCAATGTTATGTCATAAATGTATCTTGGAAGCCTTTGAAAATTCACATGAAGCAATCGCCATGTCTTTTCAACAGAATGGTGTGTGTATAACTTAGCTTATAGTTTGTTCTCTTCATCTCAGACACTTCTGATTAAATTCTAATTTACTCTTTATGTAGTCTGCGATGGAACTTTTTTCCCTTCCCTTTTAAAGGAAATGTCTGCAGTAGTGGGTAGCTTCAATGAACGTGCGCAGAAATTGCTCGACCTTCATCTAGCTTCAGGTTTCCGTAAGTACTTCATATGGTTTAAAGTGAAGCTGCAAGGAAACCATCCTGCCTTAATTCAAGAAGGCAAAGACTTGGTGACATATGCACTAATCAATGCTATTGCGATGCGTAAAATACTCAAGAAATATGATAAGGTATATATATATATATATATATAAATATATATTCGTCTAATGTTTTAGCAATTAAATGGAGTATTAGTAAATTATGCTCTGGCTTTGAGTTACGAAATTGACGCATTCAAGAACTTTTATTTTGATTATAGATTCATTACTCTAAGCAAGGCCAAGCATTCAAGTCACAAGCCCAAAGTATGCACATTGAGATTCTTCAGTCCCCATGGCTATGTGAGCTTATGGCTTTTCACATAAATTTGAGGGAAACAAAGGCCATTACAAGGAAGGCTCCTGCATTGTTTGAGGGCTGCTCTCTAATAATCAATGATAGCAAACCATCACTCTCTTGTGAGCTCTTTGATTCAGTAAAGATTGATATTGACTTGACTTGTTCTATATGTTTGGTAAGTGCCTGGAATTTTCTATTAATCATGCCTATTACTTCAGCACATGACTCAGAAGAGAACTTTCTTCAATTAACCTTGGCCACACATGGGTTCTTTGTTACTGTTGACATTGCTAGTTCTATAGGTTTGGTGGATCCGCAGATTTTCTTCTATTTATCGTTGACGCCAAAACTTTGATTAATCATATGACCGCATTTATTTGTTCATTTGGTTGCTCAAAACATCGGTTTGGGATTGTGGCCTCTAGGTTTAATACGATTTCTTTTCCAATATTGAAAATGAATTCTTGAAGTTAAGTCTGATTATCAGAAATTTTAAACGTGAAAAGCATCACTTGCATGGTGTTCCACTTCCACTCCTGCCCTGTTTCCGAACCTTTCTCTAAACATTCTCGTGATTTTGAACAAACCTCACATATTGTAAAGGGCTTTGAAGTGTGGCCTTTTTAGATTTGTTGTTCCGGCTAGTCAATTTCCATAGTTAGGGAAACTCCAGTATCGATTGTGATAAACTTTCAAGACAAAGTTAAGTTATTAAGTTAAAGATAATGCAAGATATTGGAAACCACTAGTAGTTTGTACCAGATAAAGATTTAGTCTTATGTGCCAAGAATTAGAAAGAGCTACAGCAACATAAGAAATTCCTGTCAATAATACACCCTCCCGAATGAACATATTATCCAAAAAAAAAAGTTCTTAGTCTCATAAATGTATGGGTATTCTTAGCATGGTGTTACACTGTATTACATGAAGGTACCCCAGAATACGATTTAAAGCATTTTGGTTTGGGATCCACGAGGTCTCTGGCAATCATTTCTTTTTTTTTTGAAATTTCAGCACTTCAATCATCTTCCAAATCATGTACAAATTTCTGATTGACATATAGCTAGGTGTTTTTATAAGCCAACCCATTGATCTAATTTGACTTGTTGTAACAGGATACAGTATTTGATCCAGTATCTCTTACCTGCGGTCATATCTTCTGCTACATGTGTGCTTGCAAGTCTGGTTCAGTGACCATAGTGGATGGGTTAAAGGCAGCAGATCCCAAGGAAAAATGCCCCCTCTGCCGAGAGGTGAGTTATTATCTTTAAAATTCTCTACCAATTTTTTCTTTCGCATTTTCTGTTCAATTTTTAGTAGCTTCTGCTTTATTTATCTGACAAAAGCATTTCTAGACAACTGAAGGGACAGATAATTGCATTGAAATAATCATTTGAGAAAAAAAATATGCATAGGTTGATGCCAAAGTTGCATCATTAAATACCGAAGCACACAATTGCTCAACCAAATATATGTCGTTGATCTTGGAAACCTCAGGAGGATGACATTTTATAGTTGAAAAGTTACATGCTGATAAGTATGCCTCTTCCTAAAATGGTTTCCAATAGTCCTAAAATGGTTTCCAATAGTGTTTCCAATGGTATCTAGTGTCTAAAGTTATTGAACATTCAGTCACAATATTTTGTCATAATTCAGAGGTGCACTGCAGTTGTTACACCGAAAAAAGGGGTTATTTATTGGAAATAATTATTCTTTGTTGAAATTAGGGTTGATATCCTCTGTACCTTGATGTGGTGAGCCTTGATACTCATCAGGAAGAATGAGATGTTCTGTTTCATGAATCTAATAGTTTAATGATCTTATACTGTTGTAATAAATCGATTCTGATTGATTTCAGGCAGGAGTTTATGAAGGTGCTGTGCACTTGGATGAGCTGAACATTCTATTGAGCCGGAAGTATATATTTTCTGTCCATTTATTTGATAATCAGACAGCTGAGGTGGTTAAATATGTTGTCATTTTTGTTGCACCCCCTAGCAAATTTCTTACTTATCATTCTTGAATTGAACAGTTGTCCTGAATATTGGGAAGAACGTCTTCGGGTTGAAAGAGTGGAAAGAGTTCGGCAGGCCAAGGAGCATTGGGAATCCGAGTGCCGGGCATTCATGGGCGTCTGAATTAAAGAGATCTTTTTCCTTCAGTGTTAGAAATATGGTACCACTGCATAAATCAGTTGATGTTTCCTTGGTTGGGGATGTTCTGTATCTCGCACATGCGAATAAATTTGTACATATCTATGTTTTGTTCCATGTAATGACATTTTGGAGTTCTTCATAAGGCTTGTTAGTGTCTTGCTAGGCTGAAATGGAGTGCAATTGTTGTAAAATGTTGGTTGTTGTTCAGAGTTTAGGGTTTATGGAGGGTGAATTCCCTATAAAGTATTTGGGAGTCCCTATTATATCTACAAGACTTAAGGCTTTGATGATGATGTTTTGAGGGGGGGGGGGGGGGGGGGGAGGGGGGGGCTTTGGTATAAAAAATTTAGCTGAGTGGAATAAAGCTTTGATGATGAGGCACATGCAGAATTTGTTTACTGATAAACGCAGCCTTTGGTCTAATTGGATAAGAGCTTCTGGGAAGTTAAAAAAACCTCAAATCTGCTCCTGGAATTGGAGAAAGATTCTTCGACTCGGAGATATGGCCAGACCTTTAATGCATCATGTTGATTGGTAATTGGACGAAAACACACTCATGGCATGATAACTGCCATACATGTGATCCTTTGTTGCTAGGGTACTCCTGTAGAACTCTGTATGATTCAGGTTTGCCTAAGGGAGCATAGGTCAGTTCTATTGTTTCAAGGGGAGGAGTGGTGTTGGACTGATACATATTCAGACGAGTTGCTTGAAATTAATGCCTCAATTCCCTCTTATAAGCCTAATAGCTTAAAAGAGGATATTATTCTTTGGAAGCCTGCTGCACGTGGTTTATTTTCAGTAGCTGCAGCGTGGGACCATATTAGAATTCAATCACCTATCGTTAATTGGTGCCACCTAGTGCGGTTCAACAAGGCTGTTCCAAGGTGGAGTTTCATATTATGGCTTGCCATCAAATGTAAACTGATGCCACGGTGGAGTTGATTGTGTACTTTGCAGATCTGCCATGAAGACCATCAACATCTATTTTTCCAATGTTCCTATTCAGGTAGGGTATGGTTCTCAGTGATTAGTAAATGTGATTTATGTATGCAAAATATGCCGTGGTGTTCCTTGGTTAATTGGGCTGCCAATGAATGGAGAGGAAAGGCCTTGACGACAATTATAATGAGCCTATGTTTATCAGCAACTGTTTATTATATTTGGAAAGAGAGGAATTCAAGAATCTTTCATAACTCAATTCAAAGAAACTGAGACAATGAAGCTTGAGTTGTGTGCAGTGTTAAGGGAAAGATTGTCTACTCTTTAAGTTTTCAAACTATTCTCATAGAAGACTATTTGCAACATTGCTGCAGTAGATATTCAATATGATGTTTGCTGAAGGCCCTTGCAATTCATTTACTCACTGAGTTACACAAAATAGAGTGAAATGTTGTTATTTGCTTGCTCTGTTATTTGAGATGCTCTGAGGATACGACTTCTTAGAGTTGAGTGGAGTTATTACTGAGTGTGATCATGATTGATAGCAAGTAGTTTGCTGTATACTGTATTGGAAATCTTGTGTTGATTTCTGCTGGACATGGCTGAGCTCCATTGCTTGAGAGAATGCCTTGAAGTTATGCCTTTTCACTGGTTGTGCCTATTGTTGTTGGGAATCCAATTATTTGGCTGTGCTTTGTTACTGGTTGTGCCTATAGTTGATTATTGTGACTTGATGGTGTGCATCTGCACTTTGTTAAGAAGTTTTCGTGTTTTTCCTCTTTCCTTGTAAGGCTCTATATTTTCTACCAATAAATATTCAAATTTTATTTACCAAAAAAAAAAAATGTTGGTTGAGATGGCTTACCCTTTTGGTGATGCATTACTTGGTCTTTCGTTTAACCTGATTCTAACGTGTAGAGAGATTATTTTAATACCTTAAATCCGTGATGCTTAGGGCAATGAAGTAATTTTATTATTAGATCAAAGGTCGCTTTGAATAAAAACTAAAAAAAAATTAAAAAGCTAAAAATAGTTCAAAAAGAATTGGGAAATTTGGAGGCCGGTCCCTGGACTTGTTTGGACTTAAATCCGTCAAAAAAATTTATTTGTTATGAAATCTATTTTTTGTCAATTTTATCATATTATCCCTTCCTTTTAGAAGTGGAATAAAGTTAAAAATTAAAAACTCCTAAATCTTAGGAGTTTGACTAACATTAAAATTTTTTATCTTTTATATCTATCTATATCCATGCATAGGTTAAGAGTTTGATTAACATTAAAATTTTCTCTTTCTCTTATCTATCTATATATATACATAATAACATTAAAAATAAAAAATAGTAATATTCAAATACAAAAAAAAATTATCATTTGAACACAAAAAATAATACATTTAAACACAAAAAAATAGTAACATTTAAACATAAAAAAATTAAAACATTTAATATTAATATTTTTAAAAAATAACAACAGTAACATGTTCAACAAAAATAGTAACATGCTTAATAAAAACTATAACATACTTAACAATAATTATTTCTTTCAAATTCAAATGTAAAAAATAGTACCATTCAAATACAAAAAATAGTAATATTAAAAAAAAAATAGTAATATTAAATATTAATATTTAGAAAAATAATAGTAGTAACATGATAAACAAAAACAGTAATATGCTCAAAAATAATAGTACATGAACAGTAACATAATAAAAAAAATAGTAACATGAATTTGAATTTTACTATTCAAATTCATAGTAACTTTTTTTTTTGTATTTGAATGTTATTATTTTTTTTTAATGTTATTATATATATAAATAACCTATATATGGATATAGATAGATAAGAGAGAGAAAAAATTTTAATATTAGTCAAACTCTTAACCTATATATGAATATAGATAGATATGAGAGAGAAAATATTAATTTCTTTTTAAGGAAGGGTATTTTTGAGATAAAAATAAAAAGTGGACTTAAGTCATTACATATAATTTTAAACATGAACTTAGCCTCTTATAACTTTTCTTACAGGACTTATTTTTAAATAATTACATTTAGGAGGACTCACTTCCAATTTTTACAAAATAATTAGGTTAGAGCAGCCAAATGGGCCCTCCCTCCAAGGATGGGTTGTTGGATTTGGAGGCCCAAAATTACAAATTAGATAGGATACTATAAGCAAATAATGGGCCGAAAGGCAAGGGAGTTTCGATTCAGTTCATAGCCCAATGATCTCTCAACGGGCCAGCCTTTTCTTGGATTATCTCCCCCCTTCGAGTAAAGCAAAAGTTCAACGTCAGCCCAAATGCACCTCAATCATATGGACCTTTGATTCACCGACTTTCCTAAGAGAACCAATCTTGACCCTTAAACTTCCTGATCGTCCAATAGAATTCCTCGTCTGGTCACACGCTATAAACTATCCGAGGCTCTGAGCGATCACATGTTAAAACATTGAAAGGGTTTAAGAGTAAAGAGGGTAGTTGTACTTCAACACTTTTTTGTCGCAAGTTTTACTCTCCCACTCTACTTTGCTTCTAGGGTTTCCCATTTTGATTCTTTCTTCTTCTAGACAACAACATGAGGTAATCTTTCTTCTCTGCTTCTGATTTTTGCGATTCTCGGGTTCTGACCCCCCTTCCGATTGAATCTTTTATGATACGAAGAAGAAAATACGAACAAGTTTTTCTTCTTCGATTTTTGAAATGGAACATAGTTTGTATACTAGGAACTTAATTAAGTTTTTGGTTCTTGTTTCATACGTTGCTTTTTGTCCCCCTTAGAAGCTGAGATCTCAATGGTAAAATGGTTAATATTTGCGTTAGGCTCACTTTCGTGAAGTTTATAGTTTCCTTGGATTCTATTTAGTGCAATTCTATGTACTGGTTTTTTGTTGGATAGTGTACTTTTTTTTCTTAGTTTTCTATGATTTGTAACCAAGTAGAGTATATCTGATCTCGCTAATTGCTTTCAGATGTGTAGTACACAATGGCATGACTCTTTTCTTGCTGTCTCATCTACAGCTAAAGAACAGATTTCTAGGATTTTTGTTGTGTTAATGGTTGAACAAATGTTTTTTAAGTTTACAGTTGGTTCATGGAAT